AAAAAAAAAGTGCAAGCAGAATAGGCATTGCATCTTGCAGCGGGGAGTGCTGCTTTCTTTTACCCTGGCCTCTCCCCTTCAGACTCTGTCAGCTATTTGTAGAGAATTTACCAGGTGCTCCTTAATGACTATGGGTGTGGCTGTGGAGAAGGTGGGAGTTGTTTCCTCCACTCTCTTCCGGACTGGGATTGCTCCTGGGAATTCACCCATTTTGAGGCCTGAGGGTGCCACAGGAACCACCAGAGGTAAGAGAGCTGCAGAACCACAAAGCTGCCAGGCTGGGAAGTTGGGACTGTTATCAGCTAAGTCTGGAGGGACCCTCTGTTTCGTACCATTGCTTAGGTAACAAGGCTTCTCTGAGGAAGGATACTCTCCCTTGACCCAGTGTTTATCACAGTCACGATTGCTTCACAACAAAACAACTGAGCTGAGTAACTCTTGAAACCCCTTTGCACTGAAGAGTTGTCTAGCTAGTGGAGTGGAGAGAAGCCTCCATCCTGAGTGTCCTTCCAAAGTCACATGGTCGCGTCCCCTGTCAGGGTTTGTGCAGACTCTTGCACCTGCAACAGTGGATTTTAGAGTTACACTCTAGGCACTCTCCAGATATTCACACTGCTGAAAGGATTGAGTGTTTCAAACAGGGTAAAGAAAGCCCTAACTAACTCATCATATCTCATGCTTCTTAAAACCTGGCTCTCTGCCAGAGCATCTTGATGCATCTTCATTTGCTGAAGGGAAGGAGACTAACACATGTTTCTGTTTGTACCTTCCTGAGTTCAGCCTAAGCCAAATGCCCACTGCACATAATTCATATGATAGTCAAAAGCTGCTTGGCTTAACCAGCTCTCTTCTTTGGGAAGCAGCATGGAGTCCACATGATTACAGTGGGTGCTTCCAACCTCGGGACCTCACCCCATGACCATAAACATGGACATCGACCCTAGCTAGATCAACCAGCGGTCTTCCCTGAAGTTTGAAATTTGAGATTAGGAGAGAAAGTCAGTCCCTTGTTGATAGGAATCTGGAGCAAGTACAAGCCAAGAGACCAATACAAAAAGGAAATACCATAGGCAAGAGACCAGTATCTCTTTAGCAATTTTATCTTGTTCTAGTCTCCTGTCCCTATAGGTAAGATTTATTGAGTAACTAAATTAGAAAGCTTCCTTTTCCTATATCTTAAAACACATGGTGAACCTCGACTTCCTTAGACCCTCCCCCAAATCAACCTTAGGAAAACCCAGACCTATGTACACTTTCTTTTAAGCACCTTCTTATTTGAGATACCCCATGTCCTGTGTGGTATATGTCATCCTCAATGCAATGAATAATAACCCCTACTTGTTCAACTGCAGACATAGTCCCAAAATCAGTTAGAAAGCTTATCAAGGAAGGTACAGTAAATAAAAGATATGCAGGTGATGTTCTGCCTTCTGCAGGAAAAAAAGACTAGGAGACTTGGGTCTTCCTAGGAGAAACCTTACAGAGAGAATACATCACAACAACCTTCACCTGGTCTTCAGGTTCCCTCTAGCCAAAGAGATATTGGGGGTGGCATATCTTTGTTCCCTTCCACTTAGGAAGCATGATCACAAGCCAAGCTCAGAACATTTTCATCCTCCCACAAATAACTCTCTATAGCTTATGATATGTATTTTATCAACTCTCAATTTGTGACATCTTTCCATCTTCAAATGTTCAGTCACGGTTGAATCCCTTTTGCAAATAGCTAATGTAGTCATTATATAGTCAGTAGGATAAGTAAACATCATTAAATAAATGGCATTTAAAAAAAACCTCTTCACTATTAAATTAACTGCCTTTGCACTAGATTACAATCTATATTCTAAAAATCTGACTCATTTTTAGGTAAATAATAAATACCAAGATTTATTTAAAACTCAATATTGATTCAGCTGGGATTTGATTTGATAGTGAAAAACAGGAAGGAGCTGGAGTGAAAAGATTCCATGATGCACCTTGAGAACATTTAAGCAAGTCAATTCAGGTGTGGAAATTAAGTAGGTCAGATAAACATCCTTCTCTGCAGTCCCTTTGTCTTGAGCCCATGGGAGCAGGATCCCTCCTGAGAATAATTATAAAGGACAGGCTGCAGGAGTACAGGATGTTGCTCTGTGTGTAGGTCAAATGCAAGTCAGAGCTTACACCCTTTATTAGTTTTACTTAAATTCAGTTGAATAGATCACCTCTTGCCTACCTTATGTAAATATTAAACAACTTTAAAAAATTACACTTGAACTCAATTTAAATTGTCCCCAGTGGATCAACTATGTCATGGGCAAATAGGTAGAAAATGAAAGCAAAATTACTGTGCCCTGCTTTTCACAAATGAATGATATATTGGTAAATTCATAATAATTGCTTTAGAAACATTTTGATAAATATTGGTAGATAACATACAAGTTACATCTTGTAGAAAGTAGTTGTGGTTTTTATTTTATGCCAAAATAAAGTGGGGTTATTTTACAGTCAGAAAACCAATTCTGATGAAAACTCTGTAAAACAAATGTCTCGAGTGTAAGGATGATACTGTACTGTGAAAGCAAAAGCAGCCTCACCGGACATTCACATGGATAGAACACTGGAGACTCTTCCAGAACCAGCAGGAGAGAGGACATTACTTATTCAAGGATTGTGTGAACTGAAACCTGAAACTACTAAACTATAGAAAGATCTAAAATCTGACATCACACATGTTCTCTAAGTTCAGCAGAAAATAATTAAATCTATAAGCACAAAAATTCTCAGCACTATAATTTCAATACCTTCTGGGAGTTGAACACAAAACTATAAAGGTTAGGAAGCTGTTCATTTCAATTACCAAAGACTACACTTTTTATTATAAAGCAAGTTTCTAAGTTAGGACCAACTTATACAAAACATATTATTTTATTTATTAATATCAGGAAAGTATTATCGTACTTATTTTATTAATCAAAATTAGCTGCAACTGTTTCCTGCCCTTAAGTATATGTATTTAACATTTAATAAAATCAACACTGGAGTAAGCACAGCTGCACTTGGACAATGAGGGGGCACTAAATCTAGCCAAGAACAGGCTCCTCCTGATGGCGCAATGGGTTAAAGCGCCGTATTACGGAGTTTTCTGAAGTCAACGCATTGTGAGTTCAATCCCCATCCAGGCAGCTGACCCACATGGCGCGGCAGGCCTCTTCTGACCCGCCTGCTGCTGTCCTCAAAGTACAAAATGTACTTTGTCAATCCTACTGTTCTGCTCCCCACTGTGTCTCTGGTGAGTCCTCTCACCCACCACATCTCTGGCCTATACCCCAGTTCTGTCAGCATAAATAAATAAATCTTTACAAAAACAAAAACCCTAACCAAGAACAGTGCCCAAATGGTTAATTCGTCACCTGTGTACACACATGAAGACCATTCCGGTTCAGGAAACAACAATAATGGGATTTATGTAACAAAAAGGAAACTAAGCGTCACTAAGGCCACAGTGGCCAATTACCTCACACCTAATAGCGTCCAGTGTTCAGAAGTCTGAAACAAAATGGTGCCCAAGACAGCATCTTCCTACTGCTGAGGGCTTGTAGTTCCCGCAGCCAGAGGCAGTAGGCAGAGGTCCAGCTCTCCAGGCCAGCAGGAAATATTCATCTGAGCTACCGAGATGAGCCCAAGGCAATGGCACCATATGGCAGCAGCAACAGCAGAGTGACTGGACAGTTGGCTCACACTCACGCAGCTCAGTGAGGCACCCAGCTCCGGGCGGGCGCTGGCTTTCTCCTCCAGGCTGTAAGTGCGCCAAAGCTGGGAACAGTCTTAGCCACCTGGCTACTGCAAAAGTTCTCAAATTTTCTCCTCCAATGTCAGCTGCTGGAAGTTTTTCCATATCCTTTGAAGGCCAACAGAAGTCTGGAATATATATCGTCTGGGGGGGTTGGAATGGCTGATGGTGGGGGGCGATGGGGGGGCGGAGCTGCTTCTGCAGTCCTTTATATTCCCTGCCAGAGTCCTCATCTGCTCAGATTCTTTCTTTCCAGGCATATTCCACCTGGGGCTGTTTATTCTTATCGGTGCCCCCCTAGGGGGCGCCACCTGTAACAGCCTTTGGCTCTGGTCTTGCCTTTCAATCCCCCACAAACAATTAAAATACAAAATAAAAAGCCTTCTAATTTAAAAAAATTGTTATTTCACTTCAAAATTAGGGCATATATTTTAGTCTTCCATAGAAGACTATTCCATTCCATTGAAATAGTACTGTACCCATGAAAACAATTATCTTTCCATTCTGTTATGAATGCGTCCAAAAAAATAAAACTAAATATAATTATCACAACCCTTTACAAAACTATTATATTTTTATGAGAGATATTTTAAAACTTTTAAAAATTTTCACAAGCTTCAGTAACTAAATGTATATTCGTTAGTAGAAGGTAATTCTTATATATTTATTTTGGGTCTAGACAAGTCAATTGGTAACTAAAGGCCTAAATGAGATCTATTTCTGTAAAAGGTTGATATTTGTGACATCAGCCTCTCACATATAAACATGAACAGGTAGATTCACCATCATTTTCAAATAAAACTTAAATTGGACTTTTTGAAATTCACATCTTTGTTCATTTTAGTCTTCATGTAAATTTAAGGTGCTGAATTTCTGGAGCCAAGAGCTACTTCTAACTTGTGATGAAAGGCATTTATCCGTTCTTTCTGAGCTGGCCAGTTCAAGATGCAGTGAGACTTAAACATTCCTCTTCTCAAACAAAGCGCATGGTTCAGTTTATAATCTGGAATCTCCTCAAGAAAGATCAATATAATAGAATCCAGATTTTGTTCAATAGCCTGCTGAACTGCATGGTGCACCTTGAATCTAAGTTAAAAAAATAAGAGGTGTCAAATTAAGTCACACATTAATATACAGGTCTCAATAGCCAAAAGCTTTAAAAGCTAAAATTCCCCCTAGAATTTAATCTGTCACTAAATTTCTGATTATATCTTAAGTTTATTTTTAAATTGTTTAAGGTGTAATACTACTAATAACAATTAGTAATTAATAATAATTTAGTAATTATTAGAAGCTCAATTGAAAATGGATGCAATACTTAAAATATCACAATATTTACCTACCTTTTGCATAATGGATCTTTTAGTAGATGTTGTGTTATGACAAAAATAATTTTTCTGCTCCTTTTGATGCTGTTAACAATTGCTTCAAGTTCAAGTACACCTGCCTGGAAGTCCCTTTCTTCCAGACAAAATCTGAGAGTTTGATCTCTTTCTTCCATTGGGGAGAAGTTTTCCCAGACCCAATCCCTATCTTTATGGGCGTGAATGATATAAGCCGCATATTGGAACTGCTCGGGTTGTTTGTCTATTTCTTGGAAACCAAGAACTCGATGCACTGAAACATTCCAATAAAAAGATATCCTCCAGCCTTCAAAATGGACAAGCAGAACGATAATGATAAAAACAGACAGGGTGCTGGTACATATCATGAAAAGGAGCTCAAAGGGTGCACTGTCCTTGCAGGGTGATGTATCAAAGAGCATCACTGAGAAACCATGATACTGAGGTGGAGTATTGCAGAGATAGTGACTTGACAACTCAACGATATTGGTGTGGGTAGCATTCATCCAGTTAACAAACCAGGCGATACTTTCACATGTACAGTCAAATGGATTAAAGCGCATGTCTAAATTACTCAGGTTCTTGAAAACTGGCTCAAAAACATTCCTCTCAACTGATGTTATGAGATTCTTCTGAAGGTTCAATGACTTTAGAGACTTCTGATTATCAAAGACAGAGGGTGGCAGGATATTTATATTATTCATCCCTAAATTGAGGCTCTTTAATTCAACTAAGTCCTTGAAGACCTCTGTTGGGATCTCATCAAAACCATTGGACTCTAAGTTGAGGATGTGGAGGCGAGAAAGACCCTTTAAGAACTGAACAGGACCACCAGGGTTTGCATGTTTCCAGAGCCTTGCTAAATTGTTATGCTGCAAATCCAGAATTTCTAGTTTCTCAAGGCCCTCGAACAGGTCCTCATCTACATTGGCCATGTTGTTGTTGCTTAAATCGAGAATGGTCAAGTTATGAAGTGGATAAAAAGGTGAAGGAGAGCTAAGCAGATTTTTAAGGTCTACCCTTCGGAGCATCAGTCTTTGAAGGCTTGGAACCAAGGCAAAAGAGTTGCTGTTCAGTTGTAGATATTTGTTGTAGGAAAGGTAGATTTCAACAATATTTTCTAGACCTCTCCATTCCTGGCCTGTGAGTTCCTGCCCAATTTCATTCAGGCCGAGGTCAAGGACGTGTAAGTGGCCCAACTGTAAAAAAGCACCACTTTCTATTTTGGAGATTTTATTCTTGGTTAGGTTGAGTAATAGTAAAGGAGAATGATCAAGTGACAGAAATGTTTCATTTGTTAACGTTTGCAAACTTGCAAAAGAGTTAGATAAACTTAAGTATTTCAGCTTTATCAGTCCTGTGAACATATTGCTCCCTATGTTTGGCAAGTTGTTATCTGCCATGTCAAGATACTCCAAATCTTCTAGCCACCGAAAGGCAAAATCATCAATCTTGGGAAGCAAAGCAAGGGAATTACCTTGTTTAGTAAAAGACTGTCTCAAATTCAGGTATCTCACACTGCAAAGTCCAAAAAAAGAGTGAGAAGATAAATGAGCTATATTATTAAACTCCAGGGAGAAATCTTCTAGGCGGCTTAGCCAAGCAAAAGAACTGTTACCAATTACACTTAAGCTGTTGTGGGAAAGGTCAAGCGTGGTGAGATTTGTGTGGTTTAGCCCAGCGAAAGTCGCGCTGTTTATTCTGTTCATCTGGACGTTGCTCAGAGACAGATGCTGAATGCTTGTGTTTGATAATTCCAAACAGAGTTTTGTTGTGAGACTAGGGCCCAATTGGACGTTGTTCAGCGAGAGGCCAAATAATTTTCCAATTGCATTAAAACACCCTGGAGAGAACTAAAGGTGGGAGGAAAAAGGTTAATAACCAAAACACAGTAGAATTATAAAAACCTTAAAACCCCCCCAGCCCTCTTTTACCACCCTACGTACACTCTCTCTCCTTTCCTCTGACGCACCGTAACTTCTCTGTGCCTCTAGTACCCACCCACCTTCTCCTCCAGCCCCTCACCTGCCCTTTCCTGGCTAACTTCTAGTCAGCATTACTGTCTTGACTTAGATGTCCCCTCATTCGGGTGCCTTCCCTGATCTTCCAGCTCAGACTGAGTCTCCTAGTCCTTTCACTTCATCACACTGAGTGTAATTATAACTGACAAGCTACCTAAAAGTCACCACTGGGACAGCTAGACTTTTCTGACTTTCTCAGTGAACACCATGGAATGAATGAGCGGCTGTATCAGGAAACAGTGATACATCTTTCTCTTCTGCAGCTCTGAGTTCCTGTCACCCTCTGCCATTCCTTCCTGCTTGCTCCTGTTCACTACTAAGTTTCTCACTCCCTTCACTCTGCCCGCATTTGCTCAGCAGAAACTTCACTGCGCTGGGACTCAGCTTTAGAACGAAAGAACAGAGGCAGGGCAGAAGGAATCCATAGGACACAGTAGCCAGGAGAGCAAAGAGACTCTAATTTCGATGGTGTCTCTTGGGAAATGTTCGGGCTACTGAAAAAGATGACAGAAGGTAGAGGAAAAGGTGCAATATTGTGAATAAAGTGAGTTGAAATACAAAATAAGAAGTTATTAAGTTGTGATAAATCTACATTAGATGATTTTGCAGTCCCCTTTAGAAGAAGTTTTTGAATACTACACAGTGACTTGAAGGATGTTCTGAGATGTTACCTTTTTAATTTTTAAGTATACATTTTATTTCATTTTTGTTATTAATTCCAAATGCAAGTTACACTGTCAAACTCCATAAGACAATGAGCACAGCTTATAAGCTCACAGGCCCTGTCCTAACATTGCCACAGAGATGGCTATGTCATCTGCTGTGAGAACTTGGAGTTGCTCTTTCACTTGCATTTAAATGAACTTACTTTTGGGTAAAGTGATAATAAGGATAAGTTGGTTACAGGACAAATATACAAAAATTTATAAAAGAAATTGCCATAGGGTAACTGGCACACAGTTAAGTGGTCTGTTTAATTGCAGTTGCCATCACTTTTCCTTCTTATTACTTGGAGAAAAACTTAAAATTAACAATCCCAAGTGCTAACAATGGCCTCTGGAATGCAGCCTTTTACTGATGTCTATCTTCACCTATGATTTTTATATATTTTAAAATATTTCTACAAGAGACATTCTATACAATAAAACCCCACTGCTCAAAAAAATTGGAGTAGCTGACATAGGATATTTAGCCATCAGAAAATAGTTTGGTGCAGTCTATTTTTATGTCTGAAAATTAATACAGTTTTAAAAAATCTTAAGTATTTCCCATATTCTTACAAGCTTACATGTATATGAAACTAGTTAACAAATAGAAGAGTTTGGATCTAAAAAGAGAAGATTGGTTAGGAATACTTCCTTGTAGGAAGTTTGTTATAATAATTTAATGCTAGTTGTCTTTATTCAGCACTTATTATATGCCACTTGCACTATGCCAGATACTTTGTTATAAATTCTTTGCCTCATAGTCCATAAAACAGTTTTATGACAGGCCGCCCTAGTAGCACAAGGGTTCAGTCTCAGCACTATGAAGCAAAGGCGACACAAAAGCATGAAATTTGATCCCAGGCCAGGGAGCTGATCCACAGGTGCAGAACACCTCTCCCACTGCTTCCCCTCAGCTTTGTATTTCAGTAGATCCACCTGTCCTGCTCCCCACTCTGTCTCTGGTGAATCCTCTGATCCTCCCTCCCCTCTAGCCTCACCCCAGCTCTTGTATGCATAAATAATAAATATTTAAAATATAGTTTTATCACATTAAATTCAAAACTGGGAAATAGGAGCAGAGAGAACTTGAATAATTTGCCTGAAATCAGATTATTGAGAAATAAAGCCTAGAAAGGGAACCAGTTACCCCAAATCTAAAGCCTGCGTTTTTAACCATAATATTATTTTAATCCTTTTATAGATTTTTATGAACTGAACAGTATTATTGTTAGCCTACAGGCCAAGGGGTACCTGAGATGCCAAACTTGCATCATCTAAAGGGATCCTGTCACCTCCCCCCCGCCCCCCAAAACACACACACAAAGACAAAGCATCCTATTTATATAACTTTATATCAGCTTTAGCAGTGTTAGTGTATACAGTGAGAAGAAAAGACAGGATACTAGCTTCTCAGTACACAAGCCAGCTGCCCACCCCTTCATGGGTAAATGCCCAGATAAATAGGGCCCAAGCAGGGCAACAAAGTCTAGGCCACCTTCTGGACGGGAACCCTAGGAAGAGTGTGAAAAGAGGCCAGCAAGCCTGGGACAAATGGTTAAGTCAAACTATAAATCCAGATAATAATGAATAATGTCAGCATCCCCAACTTCTGCCACTCCCATGTCTCAAGCGGCTCTACATGTCTTTTGCCACATGTCTCCTCCAAGTCCCTTTTACAAGGTCAAAGCTGAAAACACATGACCCCTTCTCCAGGTGTCTCCCCAGCCCACCTGGACATGGTTTCACCTGACTGCCTGAAGGCTTAGCTCTCAGTTCAGCCTCTCTCTATGCCAGGCAGGGAAAAGGGTTCCTCCCCCTTTCATGGAAATGCCTCTGTTACTGTATTTCCACGTTACAGGTGAGATTGCAGCACTCAGTAAGTTTAAGTAAATTCCCCTTGGTCAAAGTGCTGGTCTGCTTGATTGCCAGCAGAGTCCCAGCTCCTATTCCATACTAAACTCCCTTTCTTGCAAGGATGATAAGAGCTCTCAATGTGTCCCTGCGAGCAATTCTATCACATGCCTAGTTGGCTGTGAGCATTTTTGCTGTACAAGATTTAAAAATGAAAAATAATGGCCCTCCCTGGTGGCGCAGCGGGTTAAAGCGCAGCACTGAGAATCTAAGGCCGCTTCCGCATGAGTTCGATTCCCGCCTGCCCCAGAGGTGACCACATGGCGCGGCAGACCTCTCCTGACCCGCCTGCTGCTCCCCTCAGCAGTGTACTTCGTCGATCTGCCTGTTCTGTTCCCCACTCTGTCTCTGGTGAGGCCTCTCGCCGCCCCTGGGCCTCTGACCTGCACCCCAGTTCTGTATGCACAAATAAATAAATCTTTTAAAAAAATGAAAAATAAAAGAGACATTCAAAGGGATATCCTAACATGGCTTTTTTCAGGGAACATGAAAAATGAAAATTGATTTAAATGAAAAAGACCAAATATGGAATATCTAAATACTTTTGAAAATGTGTGCATGTTCACGTCAATACGGTACAAGAAAGTGGGGTCGTATGTAAGCCCTCTTCCAGGTCTATCATTCATTCACAATATTACACATTTATTTTGTATTTTTCGGCAATCAAACTTACAGCGACTGAAAAATCAGAGGGCAAAGCCACACTGCAGACTATTGTTCTAGAAGGTAAAGACACATCTGCTTGCAAGGAATTGATTTTGATCTTCACAGGAGAAATGAATCCAAACTGCTCACCAGTTCATTCTTTTCCCTCCTATGGCAAAATTGCCTTCTGACCAATCAGTTTTGCAGGGAAAGGTTTACAGTCAAGAGGTTTATAGTGAAATTGCAGGAAACAGAGATTCCATGGCACCCAAAAGTAAGTATGAAGAATTCCGTAATAAAATGTCAAGATTACCACTCTTTTCTCTAGGAATCTTTAAATTCTTATTGATGTGACACAGGGGCCTTCCAGACTTAAATGCCGAACACCAAATTATTTCTCCTTACTTCTTACCTCATTAATTGGATTTGATGACAAGTCTAATGTTTTTATGGAAGAGTTCCCAAGGAAATCAAATTCTTCACCTCTTATTGCATGAATTTTATTTTTTGATAACAGAAGCACTTGGAGATTTTCCAGTTGGGTCTGAGTTCCTAATTTAGTCGATGATAAACCATTATGAGATAGATCTAACTTGATTAAATTCTGAGGAGGAAAATAAAACAAAACACATTAGTTAGAGTCCTGCTATCAAAAACAGTTATTCTAAATGCCCATCAATTTTAGAAATAGCTCCACACAAAACAACACCTCTATTCTAGAAAGAGCTAATGGTAATAAGAAATCTTTGTTGTGGTTAAAAAATACCAATATTGTAAGGGTTTAGTTTCTTGCTAAGAATTACTTTATTTTCTTTACCAAAATAAAGTGGAGCCGCTTGTGTATTTGTGCTATAAGGAATGTTCATATAAGTATTGTTTACTGATAATAAGTGTCGTTTAAAAAGGAATTAACATGGAGGAATTAAAAAGGAATTAATATGGAGTCCTTGTCAGGCCTTCACCAAGACTAATACCTGATCTAACTGATTTAGAATTCTAAACTAATCAATCTGGAGTTTCCAGTTCAGCACTGGTGAGGTTAACTGCACACCACCACCTTCCACCCAAGGGAAGGTTATTTAGTTTGTCTCAAATAGTCTTTCTTTTCTTTTCCTAATAAGCTCATCCAACCTTCCTTTCTATAAACCACCCCCTATTTGTGCAAGCCCTTACATGGCTATTCTTGCTGGAGGAAATTCTACCTATTTGTGATTTGTTTAATAAGGTTAACTAGGTCTCTCTGATAGTCAAATGAACATTGCTTTTTTCATTGCATTTATTTATAATGCAAGTGTGAAACTTCAACTTTGAAACAAAACATGCAGTGTGAAACTTCAACTTTGAAACAAAACAATAGAAAAATGAAGAAATGTTTCCCTTAAAAGCATGGATAGAAGTTTGCTGTTCATGAAATCAGAAAAAGACTTTTGTATTTAGAGAGGGGGAAATTTTGTATCATGACTTTTTTTTTTTTGATAAATACTTTGGAGTATTTATCAATTTATGCTGCTTTTGAACATGTCAACTTCAAACTAAGGAAAAAGGTAAGAAGATCTGATTTCTGTTAGAGCAAAATAAAACTTCGCTAGTCATTACTATAACCAGGTTTTGAGGTCTTCGTGTCCAAAGACTTTCTATCTACATCAGAAAAAAAAGATTTTCAAATCTAAGCATATTTAAATGTGTATATATTATTCCTGGCATCTAAAGTTAAGGAATACTCAGCTTTTTTATAAATCTATAAAATGAAGAAAAAGAGATTTGTATTGGGTTAGGAATGACAATAACATGCATTTTTTACAGATGTAAAATCCAAGCAAAGTATTGAAAAGAGAAAGATAGTAACCACTGGAAAAGCAACTTTATGAGACTTAAGTCAGTAGGTAAGTTTTAGTAGAACAGTCTGCTACATCATGTATTAATTAGGCTGTTAACTTTCACTACAAGATCTAAATCAGAAGCATAGCAATCTGTTATGTTCCCCATGAAATATTCTTATTCTGCTGTGATCATGACCTTCACATTTTGTATCTAAGTTCTATTGCCAAAGGAGACAGCAAGAGAGGCAGAGATCTATAAAATCAATGATAAATAATTAAAAACTCTGTTTACTCTTTTGAAAACAATTTCAACCTTAATGGCAATATTTGTGTGTGGGGAGATCAGATTTCTTATTCATGATTTTAATAGTTAGATATGAAGGCTAAAAGATGATTGAAAACAGCATTAGATAACATTTTTCTTATATGAAAATGAGTATTTCCATCTTACCTTCAGGTTTATAAAGGGGTTATTCTGAATTTTCTGGATTGGGTTGGACATTAGATGGAGTTCAAGCAAATTCAAGCAAGAAACAAAAGTTTTATCAGAAAGATGAGATAACTCATTGTGCTGGAGGCTCAAAACTTTCAACAACGGAAGTTGTTGGCACAGATCTGGGTCTAGTTTCGAAATGGAGTTAAATCCTCCATCCAATACAGTGAGTTGCCTGTATCTTGTGAAATTGGCGGGTGGTAATTTTCTGAGTTGATTATGGGTAAGATTCAACACCGTTATGTTTGCTGGAAGGTCATCAGGTACTTGAGTCAACTTCAGATGACTGCAGTCAGCTACCTCGTGTCTAATAACACATTTGTTGGTACAGGACACATAGAGTATCCAGAAGGGGAACAGTGTCCCAAAGGAGTAGATGTGATAAGGCCAACGCAACCTCATGATTCTGTCCTAAAAAGAAGCACAAAAAGTAATGGACAGTATGAAGAACGCATGATTTCAAATGCATTGGTAGATTTCTTGTGTAGAGCCAAAATGTGACTATGATGATCTCTTTATTCATAATTTTTATGATACATAAGTATGCATTGTACAAGTAATATGTTAAATGGAAATAATTCCAACAGAATGAATAAGAGTCAAAAAAAGGGACAAGTGAACTTCCTCTTTCCTCTTCATTTCCCAATTGCCCTCAGGGAACCCTCCTGAAAATTTTCATAGTGGAGTCCACAAGCCTAAACAATAGGTTTGTGCTTCTATTTGTTTGTTTATTGATTTTAAACATTATCATTATTATTATTATTTTTAAAGATTTATTCATACAGAACTGGGTTACAGGCCAGAGGTAGAGGGCTGGTGAGAGGATTCACCAGATGCAGAACAAGCAGATCAACGAAGTACACTGCTGAGGGGAGCAGCAGGCGGGTCAGGAGAGGTCTGCCTGCCATGTGGTCACCTCCGGGGCAGGCAGGGATTGAACTGGTGCTGAAGTGGCTCCAGCTTCTTAGTGCTGTGCTTTAACCCACTGTGCCACCAGGGAGGGCCCATTTTTTTAATTATTAAGATAAGGAACTAAACGATAGTACCCCCTCATTACCTTCATAACTTTGCTTCAGTTGTTTTTTCTTTCAGTATATTTTTTAAATTGCATAGAAGAATTAGGGTACAGACCAGAGGTATAGGGGGTGGAAGGATTCACTAGAGACAGAGTAGGAGCAGAACAGGTAGATCAACTGAAATACACTGCTGAGGGAGCAGAGGGCAGGACAGGAGAGGTCTGCTGTGCCTTGAGGGTCACCTCCAGGGCTGGGGACACCTTGCAGTGGCTGGCAATAGCTTGGTAGCATGGAGACTTTAACCCCTACACCACCAAGGAGGCCCAATCAACTAATTTAAACAAAATCTCTTGGTTCTACCTTATAACACAGAACATTATCCCCTCGTATTTTCAGCATACTTCTCCCAACTTCCACCCTTACTTTTTTCTGACACTGACAGCTCTAACTTTGTTCGGCATTGTCAAGATATAAAATATTAGTACCATTAGCACCATTTTCCTGAAACTATGATTAATTCTGACTGCTTAGTCTGGATTAACTCAGCAAATCTAATGTCAATAAATATCACTTCCAGTATCATAATTCTATAAAAAAATATTTGTTACAGAAATAGTAGAGTTTAGAGAAATACAGATAGTAAGAAAATAAACCTTGGAGTTATTGAATAAAATTTTCAAACAATAAAAGGCATACTTCATTAGTATATGCCCTCTGAATTTTGACAAGTGTATACCCCTGTATAACCCAAACTCAGTGTATTCCCCCATCCTTTTCCCAGCTAGTTCCAATCTCCATCTCAGAGAGGGATGAACTGCCCAAACTTCTTTCCACTGTAGATTAGTTTTTTTTTCTTATAATCTCATATCAGTGGGGTCATATTCATTAATTTACACTCAATTTTAATTGATCCATATTTATGGATTTATTGATTTATTACACTCAATTATTTTCAGCTGAGTGGCAATCTGTTGTGTAAATGTACAATACTTGGTCCATGTTCATGTAAGTTAGGAGAAGCTTTTCACTATGATGAATAAAATACACATATATATCTATATATATGGGCTAAACATCTAATATGGGAATAGTTGCATTATAAGAAATTCCTAGATCTTTTGAGGAAGTTTTACACTGCTTTATACTCCCACCAACATCTTTACCAACACTTGGTTCTATTATTTTTATTTTAGTCACTCTGGTGAGTGAAGTAATATCACATTATATTTTAATTCACACTTGTCTACTAATAATATTTAATATAATTTTTCATATGCTTTGCTCACTTGTATGCCTTCCCTTGTATACTCAAGCACTTCACCAATTTATTAAACAGGTGGTCTCTTTTTTATTACTGCATTATAGGAAATAATATATAAGATAAGCACATCATCAGATTTATATTTTGTGAATATTTTCTCCTGTTTTGAGGGTTACCTATTCACTTTCCTAATCAATGATACTGTCATAATTATGATGAAATCTAATTTATCATTACTATTATTATTGCTTTCTGCCACCTGCCTATGAACTTTACTTCCAAATTACTTCTTTTGAAAGATTTATGATTTTCACTGTTAATTTTTTTTTTCTGTACTGTGTTGCTTGTACCTAGAAAAATAACTAGGCTATACCCAACATTGAGTAAATATACAATGAATAAATATCTTTCCAGAGGCAGTTACTCAACTCAAGAAAACCACTCTTCTCTTCATACATAGTTAGTTACAACTTTATTTCGGTGAATGTATAGCCAAGTTGGTATTTGTATACTATTTTCATAGTCTGTCTAGGCTTGTTTTCAGATATAAAAAAATAAACTCATACAGCCTCAATGTAGGCAGAGGAATCAATAATAATAATAATATTTCAGTAGATTTTTTGTAATACTTAACAGTCATGACACAAAAACAATTTTAGGAAAGCTTTGAGATTGAATTCCATGGTAATTAATACTAGGAAAACAGAACAAGTACATTTAGAATTGTTCTAATACTCAGTAAAATAAATTAGTGGTTTTACTTACATTCTAAACAAGTGCTGAGAAACAGAATATAAAACAGCTGCTTTAAATTAACATTTCCATTTTATAGCCTTCCTAATATTGGCACTAAATATTTTTTAAGCTATTACACAATGTTTATACCTGTAGACTATGAGGCATATTATAACCCGGCCTGCTAGGATGCTCCTCACCAAATTGTTCAAATGTATGAAGAATATGGGCCTAGAAATGATGCATTCTAGATATCAGAGACCAGCTCCTTTGTTCCTACCTCTCTGAGATTCTTCAAAACTCTCCTCCTCACAAACTATTCTGCTTCTACTTACCAACTCATAGTCCCTGCATTACATTCCCTTCTTTATCCCTGCTGGAAATACTTAGATAAAGAGCAGAATTGCTAGAAACTAATCCATTCACAAAGCATATTTCTGACAGACTGAAAAACATTCCTAGATCAGAAGACACAAAAGATTCATCAGACAGAAAAGACTCACTAATGCTAGGTAGAAAGAGGAGGAAATGTATATACACTGAAGGAAATTTATGAAACTTCAAAATTGTGATCACTGGACCAAAAAATAATACCCAAAGCTTCTTCTTCAAGTAGAAAATATGATCAATTATTTTCAAAGGAAAGAGATTTAATTGATATAAAACTTTTCATCTGCAACATGAGCCACAGCAAATAATAGTAATAAGTTTCCAAAATGTTCAGGGTCAAAATTTTGCACCTAAAATTTCACATCCAGTTGAATAATTACAGATAAGGGAGAAAAGTTTTTGATAATATGCAAAGATCCAGAAAATTTATGTAACCTATGAAATGTGTTACATGTTTCAAAATTTGTATCACATAAGTTACATGCTTCACGACTTCTGTATAACATGTATGAAAGGTTTTTGTTTGTTTTGTTTTGTTTTGTTTTTAAATTCAGGCCCTCCCTGGTGGCACCGTGGGTTAGAGCGCTGCACTGCCAAGCTAAGCTGAGCCTTGATGGCTTCAGTGTGAGTTCGATCCCCCCCCCCCCCAGGTGATTCACATGGCGCAGCAGACCTCTCCTGCTTATCCTCTGCTCCCCTCAGCAGTGTACTTTGTCTGTCTGCTCTGTTTCTGGTGAATTCCCTCACCACCTCTACAGCTCTGGCTGTACCCCATCTGTATGCATAAAAAATTAAGTCTTTAAAAAAAAACATGCAATTGGAGGATGAAATGAGATTGAAGAAAAAGCCATTAAACAAAACCTAGAAGTTCTGTTTAACTTAGTGTTAGAGGTTTGGTAAGCACCATCAGACGAAAAAGGGACATAAAGGGATTCCAAGTCAGAAAAAAAGAAATGACCCTTCACCAGTTGTAGATGGTATTACATACAAAAAATCCCAAACGCATCATCAAAAAGTTACTAAATGAATAGAGAAATATAGGTGGCTACAGAATCAACATACAAATATCCACATTGGTTTTTATATAGCTAATAACAAGAAACAAAAGAAATTTAGAAAATAACTCCATTTATAATTGTCTCAAAATTATATTAAATTATATTAAATTAAATATCACCATAGTAACCCAACTAAGGCGAATTACAAGGTGTTATTAAAGGATTTAACAACAGAAAGAGAGAAGGATATACAACATGAATGGAAAGAATTTATATGTTAAAAATGACTATCCGAGACCCTCCTTGGTAGCACAGTGGATTAAAGCACAGCACTTAGAAGCTAAAGCCACTTCAGCATGAGCTCAATCCCCACGCTGGAGGTGACCCACATGGTCACCTCTCTTGACCTGCAGACCTCTCCTGACCTGCTCGCTGCTCCCCTCAGCAGTGTACTTCATCATTCTGCCTGTTCTGCTCTGGCTTTAATAAGTGGTGCTGGGAAGAGGTGGTGACTTTTCTACTCTTCATCATTCTCCCTGTTCTATCTCTGGTGAAGCCTCTCACCACCCCTGCACCTCTGGCCTGTACCCCAGTTCTGTATGTATAAATAAAGAAAAGAGAGAGAGAGAGAGAGAGACTTAAGTTAAAACCACAATGGGATACCATCTCAAATCCAAGAGAATGGAACATATTAACAAGTTCCCTAATAAGGCGTGTAGAGGATGCAGAGAAAGTGGAACCCTATCACACTGCTGGTGGAAATGTAAGCTGGTGCAACCACCATGAAAAGCAATCAGAATTTACCTTTAAAAAGCTAAAAAAGGGGGAAAAAAAGCTAAAAAAGGGAAATACTATGCAACCCAGCAATCGACTACTGGGTATCTACAGAGAACATGAAACCAATGTAAATGTGAGTGTGTGTGTGTGCTACCATGTTTATACCGGCATTATGTGTTATTGCTAGGTCATGGAAACAGCCTAAATGCCCACTGACAGGCAATT